TACCTGTTCCTTCATCGGTCGTGTTGTTGGACCAGTCTATATATAACAATTAGGTAGGGTCCGTTCTATGGAATGGATGATGGAACTAATGTTGGGCCTATTCTCATGGATTAATGCTCTCTTAGATAGTTCCTTCCGACTTTACATAAAATAAAATAAATAAATAAACTCTAAAACGTAAAATGGAAATAACTTTCTGTCTATCAGTAATAGAAATATAAAAATACCACTATTGAATGCGTCATAAAATTTGATAGATGAATGAGATCTTTGTTACAAAAGATGATTATAATAATTTGAATTTACTTTCATAAGGCGCTATTATTTTGAGTATTAAAAGGCTTATACTAGCCTGAACTTTAAGCCCTTTATACTGGTTTTATATGTGTATAAATATACAAAAATTTTGCCAGAAAATTTTTTCTAACAAAGAAATAAAATCAAAATAAAATCAAAATGAAGTTCACTGTTTTATTCTTCCCTCTCTTAAATCTTAATTACCTTTATTATTACTATTGCATCTGCTAGTTCAATACTTCAACACACTATTCAGGATATCAAGTAATGGGTTGAAATGACAAAATATACTTGAAACTCTAAAAATAGGCATTCATCATATTCCTATTTCTGTTAATGTAGAAAATTGTAAAACTTTCATTTATAATATGGGTTTGTTCTCATATAAAAATGGTGTTATGTGGGTTCAGATTTTCAATCATCCTTCTTAATAGATATGAAAAAAAGCAATCAATTTTTGTACCATAAATTGAAGAAAAGAGATGCATCATTGAAATTTACCAAGATTTCATCTTAATAAAACAATTTATAGGTAAAACACCAGATGAGGTGTGGGAAAAAAACAAGACAGTTGGAAAATTTTACTGGTATACAACTTTTTGGTCTTGATAATTTGATTATAAAAAATCTGGTTCAACAGCATTAAATGTCTGAATGCACTCCTAATAACTGGAATAATAAATATATTCTAGAAAAGTTATTTTGATTATTTAGCAAATGTTAATTGGAAATATTTTTTACAAGTTGGGCTGAATCTGAAAATCCGATAATTAACTTCAAACCTTTCATATGCTATATATATACAAGATATGAATTTAGTGAATATAAATTGGTGCATAGTAAACTATTCTAAAAGCAGCCGGTGCAACAAATGTAACTTGGTCATATGAAAATCACAGGTTGGTAAATATGATATTTTATTATTTATTTTTTATTCAAATACTAAAATGAAACATTCTATTTTAGCATCAATTATGGACAAAATCACCAAATGGAAAAGTAGATAAATAGCATTTGCTGCTTTATACTGAAGCAGTTTTCTTACTAGTACTCCAAAATAATGTCAAATGCAACACATAAATTTTGGAAGTATTTTAAATTAACAATAAAAAAACTCCTGATGGAAATGGTGTGTACTTTCTATAATTTCCAATGAATTTACCTATGAAGAATTAAAACAAAATTTGAATGTAGTATTTATATTTTTGTTTTGTTTACATGAAAATTTTAATGTATATATTTTTTGAAATATTTTTTATTTTTAAAATTATATAAATAAAATATATACAAAAAAAAGAAAAGGAAAATTTGTGAAATCTATACCAATACTAATTATCAAATCATATTTTTATAATGAATATATACAAGTTAGTTCATATACTATTGTGGAATCTTGCAAATATCTACAGAGCTCCTTCACTTCTAACAAAGATTTACCCCTGAAATGCTTGAACAAATTGACAGATTTTAAATGATAAAGGAATGACTTAATATGAGTTCATACAAGACTGATGTAAAACCAGAATAACCAATCAAATACTTAAAAGATACTAAAAAAGAATTATGGAAAAGATTTGCAGAAGAATATCCTAATGGTATGCCTTTATAACTTGTCTCGAAGGTGATCAATATGTATACCGAGAAACTTTAGGTAATAATTTCTGCACAGGTTATGGATGAATCTTTAAAGGTACAGATAAAATTTACCGAATTTGCAGACATAAATTATAAAATCTAACATAATCATCAGCTTAGATCAATAAAAAGAATATCTCAACAAGTCAAACATCTTTTAGAAACAATGTTTCATACTGAAACAACAAATCCTCGTCAAAAATTAAATGCACAACAGATGCATGAAGAACTGCTGAGACGTGCAGAACCTGGTAAAATTGAAGAAAATGACATATATAAAGTATCTACAGTAACAAACTGAATTTCAACTTTGTCACATAAATGGAAAGAGGTCATCGCTTGCATTTCTTGGAAGAAAATATGGACTAAAAATTCATAAAAAATACTTATAACAATTAGAAATATAAATAATATTTAATAAAAGCTAAAAATTTGTACTTTGAATGCTTTGTTAAAGGTTAAATTAATATATTATATATTTCTGGAAAAATAGTTTTGTCGAGTCGGTAAATGATTTTTTTTTGTCGAACTATATTTTTATGCAGCTTGTCATGTGATTTGGCGGAGCTGTGAAACGTTTTCATGATTTTTCTTATAGCAATAATTATTATTTAATACATGATCAGCAAATTTTTACCTAGTAATTTTTAAGATTTTTATATGAAGGCTGATCGGCATAAATCACGTGACTTGTATAAGGTGAGTAACGTAAGACGAAAACATAAATCAATTGTGCGACAATATCGGAGTCATAACTCCAAAAATGACTTTAATTGACCTTTGATGAACACAAAAACATAACACCCTTTCCCCTTCCTCTTTTACTTAAATATGGCATGTTCAAAAATATTTTCAGGAGATATTCCTGAATTAACAAATAAAATTATACAATATTTTCGGAATGATCTTTCAACATTATATTCATGTATTTTAGTCAATAGATTATGGTGTCGTTTGGCAATTCCATTATTATGGGAAAATCCATTTTCTTCAAAATATCATGAAAATTATCGTTATATTGAAGTTTACTTATATAGTCTAAATGATAAAAGACAATTAAACGAGTACGGAATTAATCTTCCTTCGAATCCATTATTTAATTATCCCAGTTTTATTCAACACTTAGATACAAATTCAATTAACGAATGTATTATAAGATGGCTTCGTATTAGGATAAAATCTTATGATACATATTATACAGATAAATTATATTTCATTCCTAAATCATTAATTAAATTATTCAGTGAAAAAGAAGCAAAATTACGTACTCTTAATTTTACATATCAACATGATTATGATAATTATACTGATATTATTATTTCTGAATTAGTTTTACAAAATTCAAATTTAATTGGTAATATCAAAAATCTTTATTTTGAACCTTACGAATATGATAATATGAATTCTATATTAAAATTTTTAAATTCTAAATGCGATTCAATTTCATCAATCTATCTTCCAAGTATTGAAAATCATAATGATAGTATTGAATTATCACGATTAATTAAATTACAAAAAAATCTTAATAAAATTTTATTATATAAAAGTTTACCTCTTTCAATATTATTAAATTCTAATTGTTTAAACACTTTAAATATTATTATATTTTGGAAAATTGATTTTAAAAATATAAATATTTTAAATGAAGTATTTGAACAATTAAATGTAATAGAATCTATTCATATTATTGATTGTTATTCTTTAGATTCTAATTTTTCTCAACAAATAATTAATTTAACTAAACCATTTAAATTAAAATCTTTGATCTTATATGAAAAATCTTTGATCTTGAAAGATTCAATGGAATTAATATTACAAAAATCTGGAGATTATTTGGAAAATTTTGTATTATCATCTACAAATTCAAAACCTCAACTACTTGAATTAATTACAAGTTATTGTACGAAAATTAAATTCCTTGAATTAAATGGATTTTATGAACATCATCAGGATATTTATTCAACATTTAACTTAATTGAAACCTTTAAACAAAATCTTAATTATCTTACTATTAATACATCTATTGGTCTTAGTTCAATTGTACTTCAAAATTTAGGCCAAATTCTTCCTTTTAAATTAGAATATTTGGATTTGTATCTTGCTTTGAATACAAAAGATTTTGTATTATTTTTGAAAAATTCTCAAAATACTTTTATCAAGAAATTATTACTTAAGAATAAAATAAATAGAATACGACAAAGATTTGGACAATTCGATATGTTATATAATATAAAAGAATATATTATGAAAAAGAAAAGAGTTAAATACATTGCTTTTCGTACTAATGATCATCCTGCTAGTGGTTCAGAATTGTCTCGTTTGAAAGATGAAGTAAAGGAATTTAGGTTACATGATATAATAGTTCAAGATTATCGTCAAATGAAAATTAAATTTATCGAATTTTTAAAAGAAAAGATTTAATATTCGGGAGATTTACAATAAAGATATTTCATTTTTATTCTTTATAATACAATATAGCTGCGACACATAATTTATTTATTTTATAAAATAAAAAAGTTTCATCCAGATAATTATTTATTAAAAGTTTATTTTCTTCTTAAATATAAAATTGTTAATTAATTGACAGAATTCTTCTTACATAATTTCTTTATTATTAATTAATTAAATAAATATAAATAAATACTAGTAGATAAACAGTAAAATATCTTCTAATTGGTTGTTGCAAATTCCACTACAGTTCTTATAATAAATTATTCACATGATAACAAAAGTAATTTGATATATTCGGTTTAATTTTCATTTTGCCACTAATATGAATTAGGAAATAATGAAATGAATGAATATGAATTAGGAATAATGACAAGAATGATCGACATTTATAAATTGAATATCGGGTTGTAACATTTATTACGTAATATTCATTTATTATAAGCCTATACCCCATGTAATATACGTTATACTTATATATTATAAAGCTTTTAAATAACACCACCCTAGAATATTACGTAATGAGCTAACTCCGAAAATGAATTTAAATAGCCTTTTTTTGATGCACAAAACTTAACGCCCTCCCCTCCCCTTCCGCTTTCACTTGAATATGGCATGTTCAAAGATATTTTCTGGTGAATTACCCGAATTATTGAGTGAAATTATACAATATTTTCGAAATGATTTTTCAACATTACATTCGTGTATTTTAGTCAATAGAATATGGTGTCGTTTGGCAATTCCATTATTATGGGAAAATCCTTTCACAATTATTTCTTGTAAAAATTTTTACTCCATTCAATATTATAAAATTCGGTTTATTGAAACTTATTTGATTGATTTAAATGATAATGATAAAATAAAATTAAATGAATACGGAATTAATCTTCTTTCGAATACATTATTTAATTATCCCAGTTTTATAAAACATTTATATACACGTATTATTGGTTATTCTATTGAAAAGTGGGTTGCATCTATTAAAAAAAATGAACAACCTTTATTTACTTTTATTTATAATAAACAAAATTCCGATTTTATAAAATTCATTTATAAATCATTAATTAAGATATTCATTAAAAATGAAGCAATTTTACATACTTTTGATGTTACTCATCATCGTAATTATTTTGATATTATTGATTTAGTTTTACAACATTCAAATTTCATTAATAATATCAGACAATTTAATCTTGAACTTTGTTCATATGACGAAACAATTAGTAATATAACCCCTTTATTAAAATTTTTAAGTTCTAATTGTAATTCGATTTCATCCCTTTGTATTCCAAGTTTTGATAAATATAAAGCTGGTACAGCTATTAATTATTTATCCAAATTAATTAAATCACAAAAAAATCTTAAAAAAATTTTATTTCTTTATGATTTTCCTCATTCAATGTTATTAAATTCAAATTGTTTAAACACTTTAAACACTATTATCTTTTGTAATATTGATTTTAAAAATATAAATGTTTTAAATGAAGCATTTGAACAATTAAATGTTTTAGAATCTATTCATATTATTTATTGTCGTTCTCTAGATTCTAATTTTGCTCAACAAATAATCAATTTAACTAAACCATTTAAATTAAAATCCTTAGTTGTGAATGAAATGTTCAATTCAATAGAATTATTATTACAAAAATTTGGTGATTATTTAGAAAATTTTGTATTTGAATCATTTAAAACTTATGAAATTACAAATGATGAATCAGAATTACAATTACTTGAATTAATTTCAAGATATTGTATGAAAATTAAATTTTTAAAATTATCTGAATTTACTAGTCAGAATATTTATTCAGCATTCAATTTAATTGAAAATATTAAACAAAATCTTAATTATCTTACTATAGATTTAAATTTTGATTTTGAAGCATCTTATATTTGTAATGAAGTAAACCTTAGTTCTATAGTATTACATAATTTAGGACAAATTCTTCCTTTTAAATTAGAATATTTAAATTTATCTCTTATGATGAGTACAAATGATTTTAAAATATTTTTAAAAAATTCTCAAAATATTTTTATTAAAAAATTATTAATTAGAAATTTGGTAGGTAGTATACGAGAAGGAAAAAAATATATTTTACCTTATATAAAAGATTATGCTATGAAAAAGAAAAGAATTAAATATTTTGCTTTTTTAGAAAATTTCATTTTTGAACAAATCAATGATGATTTGTTTTCTTTGAAAGATGAAGTGAAAGAATTTAAATTATATGATATTAAAGTTCAAAATTATAATGATTTGCAAATTCAATTTTCTGAATTTTTAGAAGCAAACTATTAGATATTTGTGGTGATATAATGTTAGAGTATATTAGAGTAGATTTATAAAATAAAGAAATATTATTTTTATACTTAATCCATCCGAATTTTAAATGTATTTTTGATAAAAAAAAAATGATTTATTCATCCAGTTAATTTAATAGGTAATGTGGAAAAATATAGTGGAAATTATTCAGGCTTTATTAAAAAGCTTAATAATTCCAAAGACATCATCTAAGGAGTCAAATGAGGTAGTGTATGTTATGTAATTGACCTTGACGTTGATCGTGGATTCATATCGAATTTTGTGGATCTACGTCTAAAATGCCACGTGTTTTGTTTTGTCACAGGGTATTTGGAACTATTCAGATTCCACAATATTCGATGTGGATTTCCATGTGGATTCTAAGTGGAAAAAGTTATTTGAACTTAGAATCAATCGTAATTATTAATTGAAAGTTTATTTTCTTATTTATATGCTAATAGCAAAATAATAGATTGTCAAAATGACAGTCATTTTTATATAATTACTTTAATATTAGGTAAATAAATTAATTTAGAAATGATTTTAAAAATGACCATTGCAAAATTCCATTGCAGTATTTATTAAATAATTATTAACTGAATATTCATAGTAGAAATTTCTAGTCTTGCACTATTCCATAGTGGTTCACATAAATATTGTGAATCATCTGTTTATAATTTTATAAATTTTCACGTGGCGTATGGCCAAATTATTCAAATAATAAATGATAAAATGACCAAAGTAATTTGAAAACAAAGTGGCTACACTTCATCTCACATAAATCATATAACAAAATATAAATCAATAACTGAAAATTAAATGACCGAAATGATCAAATAATGAATTAGAAATAATTGGGTAAATTCTAGATGGTCAAATGACCAAGTTGTTTTGAATACTATGTTATAGTAATCAATAAATTGTTATTTTAAAGACGAAAAAAATTCTTCTCAAATGATCGACATATTGTAAAATAATCGTGCGACAATATCGGAGTCATAATTCCGAAAATGTATTTAATTAGCCATTTTTTGAACACAAAAACCTAACGCCCTCCCCTTCTTCTTTTCATTTAACGTTAAATATGGCATGCTCAAAAATATTTTTGGGAGACTTACCCGATTTATTGTACAAAATTATACAATACTTTCGAAGTGATTTTTCAACACTGCATTCGTGTATTTTAGTCAATAGATTATGGTGTCGTTTGACAATTCCGTTATTGTGGGAAAATCCATTTTCAATTATTTCAAATAAAAATAATTACTCTATTAAATATAATTTTATTGTAACTTATTTAGTCAAGTTAAATGACAATGATAAAATAAAATTATATGAATTCGGTATAAACAATTTGTCTACAAATATACTATTTAATCATCCCTGCTTTATTAAACATTTAGATACACGTTTGATTAGTATTTGTATTGAAAGATGGGCTGCAGCTGTTAAAAAAATTGAAACCCTTCCATATACTTTTATCAGAAATCTACCGAATATTGAAAGTAGGGCTGCAGCTCTTAAAAAAAATAGAACCCTTCGAAATTCACAAAATTCAGATTTCATAAAATTTATTTATAAGTCATTAATTAAGATATTCATTGAAAATGAAGCAATCATACATACTTTTGATGTTAGTATCTGTTATAAACCTATCGATGTTATTCCTAAATTGATTTTACAAAGTTCAAATTTCGTTCGTAATATTAAAAATCTTCATCTTAGATCTTCCTCATTGAAAATTAATAATATAAACCCTCTATTAAAATTTTTAAGTTCTAATTGCAGCTCAATTTCATCACTCTTTATTCCAAGTTTTAAAGGTACTAGTAGTAGTACGGCTATTGAATATTTGTCACAATCATCACAATTAATTAAATCACAAAAAAATCTTTCCAAAATTTTATTTTTTTATGATTTTCCTTATTCAACGTTATTAAATTCTAATTGTTTAAATACTTTAAACACTATTATACTTTGCAACATCGATTTTAAAAATATGAATTTCTTAAATGAAGTATTTGAACAATTAAATGTTTTAGAATCTATTCATATTATTGATTGTCGCTCTCTAGATTTTAATTTTCTTCAACAAATAACTAATTTAACTAAACCATTTAAATTAAAATCCTTATTTGTGAATAATACATTTGAGTCAATAGAATTATTATTACAAAAATCCGGCGACTATTTAGAAAATTTTGGATTTGAGTCATTTAATCTTTTTGATGATGAACCAGAATCACAACTATTTGAATTAATTACAAAATATTGTAAGAAAATTGAATTCTTTGAATTATGTGAATTTAATAGTCAGAATATTTATCCAACATTTAATTTAATCAAAAATATTCAACAAAATCTTAATTATCTTACTATTGATTTAGATTATGATTTTGGAAAATATTTTTATAATAATATTGCCAAAATTAGTTCAAATATACTTCAAAATTTAGGACAAATTCTTCCTCCTAAATTAGAATATTTGAATATGTCTCTTGTTATGAATACAAATGATTTTGTAATATTTTTGAAAAAATCTCAAAATACTTTTATTAAGAAATTATTATTTAAAGACGATGGAATCCAAGATAAAACAGGAAAAGATGATATGTTACATTATACAAAGGAATATATTATGAGAAAGGAGAGAGTGAAATATTTTGCTTTTCGATTTTATACTAATAAATGGGATGAATTGTATGATTTGGAGGATGAGGTCAAGCAATTTAGTTTACATAATATAGTAGTCCAAAATTATAATGATTTGAAAATTGGTAAATTTAAAAGAATATTAGAAGAATAGATTGGTAAATTAGTTAAAAACAGTAAATATGTGGTAAATTTACATAATAAAGTTGTTTTTATACTTATATATATATATGATAAGCTTAAATGTGTCTCTTGATAAAAAATAAAAGATTGATTCGTCCAAAAATTATTAATTAAAATTTATTTTCTTTAATCCTTAATTATGCGGTATACTAATGACTTCTTGCAATTTTGCCGAAATCAATTCGCCGAAAATTTCAAATCATATTTTTCCCAAATATCTATATGATACTTACGAAAATTTTGTTACGTTACTAAAAACATTATTAATAATGTTTATTTCGTTTATAGTTTATTAATAAAAATCGGGTATTAGATTGAATTCTTAATGATAAAATGTCAACCCTAACATTTTCGGCAGAATATCTTATTCGGTGAAGTATATTTCGGTGAATTGGATGATTCGGATAAAAGGATTCGGCAAATAACTATTCAGCGAAATTTCTATTCGACAAAATGTCCCTTCGACGAAACATCCTTTCGATGAAATGGCTTCGGCGAAAAGTCTTTCGGCGAAATGGACTTAAGCGAAACGTACCGTAACCCTTTCCCTATGAAAATTTTATCCGTTATTTCTGTAAAAACTCCATAAAAATGAGCCTTTCGCGGATCCATTCACGGAAAATGAAAATAATTCGATAAATTCCGTGATATAAGGCTATTAATTCCGGAAATGTGAGCCTTTTACGGAAAAAAGATGGAATATAAAAAACGGATCGACTTGGTTTTCATTTCACATAAATCATATGTCAATATATCAATCAATAACTAAAATTAAATGATTGAAATGAATTAGGATTAATGAACAAATGATCGGGAAAATCCTATGATCAGGTCGTTTTTGAACACTATACTATAGAATACTAGTAATCCATAAATTATTAGTCCGAAGTGTGACAAAGGATTATATATTTCTACATGCAATGTCCGGATGTCCGTCCGGCAAAGTGTCATTCTTGATATATAAAAATAAATATAAATATGTGTCTATCAAAGAATCATTTGTTTTTATTTTTATTTTTACTTTAATATTACGACAAGAACAGAGTAGTGACAAAACAAAGATTGCTAACCTAAAAGGCGTAACCAGTCTTATCTAAATCTATAGTGGTGAATATTAAAACAAAAAATAAAACTATCTAAATTAAAAAAAAAGATGAAAAAAACTATAAGGAAATAAATGATCATATTCTATAAAAAAGCACTTCTATGAGAAAAATGTGAAACATAAAAAAACCTAACCTCCCGCATGGAGGTAATTACTAGACATGTAAATCAACCATCTACTAGCGTTAACGGTCGATTCGTGTCACATGATAACACATTCTATCAATAAACATGTGCCCGGCAGAGACCCGGATTTATTCCGATATCAAATCGCAAATTTTTATCACGATAACGAAAAAAATTCCGATTTTATTCCGATAAAAAATTACCAATTATAGTAAGAAACATTTGATAATTCTAGCCGGCTTACATCTTAATGCAGGCCAACTTTGACACGACAATAATTTTTAGTCAAAAACTGTATAGATATTACAAAATTGCAAAATCACATTTTTTAGTTAGACTTCTATCACGATAGCATAGCGGACATGCTTATATCACCATGCCGATCATTTTGCTGATCATATATATTTTTCAAACTTCAATAAACAATATCTCGAAATTCAGTCATCCAATTTTGATAAAGTTGTGCTCATTGGATTCGCCTCATCGAGACGAGTCAAATGGTGGTATTTTCATTAATTTTGGATCACTAGATGCCAAGATATTCACGATTTTGTATTTCTATTATGAATTATCACATTATATAAAATCGGCCGATCTGGCTTGGCTATGTCTCTTATACACATCTAGATGTGTATAAGAGACAGTATCAATGCATTAGATATTTTAAAATCATTTCTATGCAAAGTATTAAACTTCCATATTGGTGAAAAGCTAAATGGTAATCATAATCATAAAGAAACCTTGCATAAAATAAAAGGTTTAGATTATATTACTAAAGATTTAGTATTAAAATATCATCTTTATGCTGATGTCATTAATGATATCTAATGCAATAGATTATTACAAATTTATACTAGCTTAGTTACTTTGAATAATAATTATATAGTACATATTAGAAGTATTTTGAAATATCATGTATATAAATATCTTTATTTACATTTATAATTACTTTGAATATATAGTTTGTAATAATATTATCATATAACTATTAATAGTATGTTAAAAGCATTTAAAAATATACTGTATGAAATATCTTTATTTGCATTTAAAATATTTTTAAAAATTTAATTATAAAAAACTTTTCCAATATTCTAAAGATATTGCATTCTTAATGATAATTTTAAAGTATTGTATGAAGGTGACATATGTTTTAAAAATATTCTTATGATATCTTTAAAAAATTGGCTTATCCAGCAAAGATATTACAGTAAATTGTGAAAAAAAATTATTAAAAAGAGATCAGATCAAATTGGAATCACATGATTTTTCACCATAGCTAAAGTACTATACTTTTTGGGGGTTTGCTTTGTATAATCATTATCAGATGATTCTTATGAATTGTTAACCTCATATTAGCTCTTTAAGTTATTCCAAACCTGATTTGCAGAGATAAAATTTCACATCATTCGCAAAACAAGGGCAAGTCTGTAATATCATTTAGTGTTGATCTCCATAAATAGTTATAAGTCCAAAAGTCAAGTAAATATAATGGTTGTAAATCAAAATTACCATCTTTTAGCTAATCACTATAGTATAGTATTTACAGTCAATTTACAACTTATGTTTATAATATTACAACTGCTAAAGGTTGTAATTCAATATATAATAATTGTTACTTATGGCAACCAACCTTAATATTATTGTGTGAAAATTTCACAGACCCAATTTTTCAAACTATGTAAAAAGGTTTGATATACTCCATCTTATTCGGATTTTGCTTATATCCATAGCATTGTGAACCTTATACACATAAACCTTCTTTAGGTATTACATAACCTAATTCATACTTTTCTTTCTTGGAAGCATGGTGAGTATATCTCTTATTTCTCAGAGTAGCTTATAAAAATCTTCAGCCATCTTCCTCCTATCTTGGTCATATGAAGCAAAAGATATTTCCAAGACAAAGCATTCACATCCATCACTTGAAAGTCCCATTTCATCTCCCTTATGACCAGATGAAACCTTTGGAAGAGTAAGAATGTCACAGTCACCATTAGTGTTGATCTCCATAAATAGTTGTAAGTCCAAAA